TTTGTTTTCTCGAAAACAAGACTTAATATCTTAAAGGGGTGGTTGATTATGATTTCACTTTTTGAACTTTAGTTAGTGTGTGTTGTTGCTGTTAGAGCATAAACAATCAATGCAAAGTTACGACGCTCAGAGTTCAATGCAAAGGGAAATATTTTCTTTTAAAGAAATCGCGGTTTAAGGACTACAAAAAACGGCTGGTAGTGACTACAACGAGCTTCATCCTGGTTTTGTGACATCACTAACCCTGATGTTTACATAAACCCCTACCCCCGGGAACACGCAACTACCCGTAATGGTAAGGGGGCGTGACGTTTCCAGACAATGTGCACTAGACGGTTAGCGAATCACAAACACACTGGGCCAGCTAACCAGTCAGAGCCCATTGCGTATTTCTGAGGGAGGGGCTTCATAGAACTAGGAACTCAACAGACCGCTTTGACGAGAATGGAAACAGCGGTGTAGAATAAAGGTAAAATCAAGCGGCAACCTCCCGCTCGCTCTCGTGAAGCCAACAAGTAAGTGACTTAAACTGTAATTCATCAACTGGCCGCTAGAGGCTGGCTACAAAAGGGAGTCAATCCCATAGACTCCCCATGTTAAAATGCCCAACTTTGCCCAGCCTGGTTCAAAAAATGATTTTGGTCTATATATCTTATTTAGCCCGTCATGACAACTGTGGGGAGGGGGGTGAATTTTTTTATAACTCATCCGTTTAAATTATATTAAGCCTTAAAGGTCTGCATAATTAAGGGCGTGGCCACTTGAGTGACCGGTGGATTGCCGCTGCTGTTACCACCGTCGAGCTAGGTGGGCGTGGTTTCAGCAACCTGCTCCCGCCTCTTTACCCATTTTCGATTATCCGGGAGTGATGCGCGGTGATGGCGACGGCCGCCTCCGCCCACTTTGAGCTTCAGAAACGCTCTTCGGAAATCTACGGGTGACGTCACGGACACTACGTCCATGTTTTTATACAGTCTATGGGTAAAATATGTGAAAATAATTACATTTTTTATTTACAATGCACTCCATAAACACAATCAAGCCCTTCGAAAAAAGCTGATCAACCACCCCTTTTAGTAATTTTGCTTTTCAAGTAAATGTATCTTATTTTAAGGATGTTTAGATTTTTGTACTGGAATACAAGTTAAAAATACTGAGGAAGAAAATAAATTTTTTGCAGTGAATGCAATGTAATCGCTTAAAAGTGCCTGCCAAATAAATAAGTGTAAATGTACACCAGTCAGAAATTAAGCCAGTTTTGGGGCAAAAATGCCACAAAAACGACAAAAATGCACCTAACATTCAAATTGTGGAGTTTGTTTGAACAAATGAGTGTGTTTTTGAATGTTATATTTTTGCGGTAATTGGTAATAGATATTCTAATTATTGGACATTTGCTTTATCAATGGAAAAATATGTAACATTTTATTTATTTATATTATATGTTTAAAATATTTGTAATCATTTAAAATACATATTTTTAAAGTGGATAAAAATTAGAATTTTTAAAAATAGTGTTTTTGTATGATTAAAAAAAAGAAAAGGAACTAAATACCCCTGAAAATCAGTTTCTAGGAGCAAATATTGCGTGCTAGTGGAAAAGTTAAAAATGTTTCTAACATTGAAACCCCCAAAACTTTTGCCCCTCAGGCGGGGGGCGTTGAGTTCTTGACCGATGTCCTGTCGTCCATGAGCATGCGGTCCTGTCTCAACATCACAGACGTGTCTCTGTCCAGATCAGGACAGTATGTTTGTCACGTGCTTGAAGGTGTGCAGAACCATAAAGCTTCAGCCAGTATTAACATCACTGTACTGGGTAAGAGCTGCAGATGCATCACATTTACATAAAACATACAATAAAGTCTGGCTACTCAAATCAGTGACAGTCAACAACAAGGTTATAGAGTAAACCATGAAAACATTTCATTACATGTAATAAACTTTAACTGGAAAAAAGTAAAAAAAATTAAAAAATTAAAAAAAGCACACTGAGGGAAGCATAAATTATCTATCTGTTTTTTATTTTTTATTTTATTTAATAATTGTAATTACAATTATTTCCCCAAGCTGCCAAGTCAACATTTCTCATTTTCATTTACTTTAACTTAATATACTAAAATAACTGAACTTTTTTTTTTATAAAAACTATATTTAAAAAAACAGGTTTATTATAGTAAAAAAAAATACTTGAGAAAACTTATATCACATAAAATAAAACTATAACAGTGTCCCAATGATTGTAAAATAGCACTAGTCAGTACATTTTTGCAGCTTTCTGGTAAAACCAGATCTGTATGAAGTGCGGCCTTCATCATCTGAGCTGTAAGATCTGGGTGGTGTGTTTTCAATGATGCTTTGATGCAAACCTTAATTCAATCATGTCAACTCTCTGAACATTTGAGCATGGTGATGCATATGACAATGATAATGTATTTGGTCTTGACGGAACAGATCTACTACGCTGCTGCTGCTGAATTGCTGCTGCTGTTGGTTATTGCTGCTGCTGCAAGCAAGTACAGGAACTTGCTACTGCCAGTGCATATGGCGATACGGTGCCATGAGTATTTAAGACATACTGCTGCTGCACAAATAGCATATAAAATAACCCGTAGCAGATCTATACAGGTGGAGCTGGGGAAGGTGGAGGGTTTCAGAGAACTCTGAAAGCACGCTGCAGGAATCTCTAGTGAATGCTAGCCAGCCATATAAATGCAAGGCAGTAAGCTCATTGGCTGCAAATGCAGCATGAACAAATCAGCTTGTGCCAAGTCATTTAACTCTCTGAATATCATCAGTTACGTTAACACCCCGTCAGAATGCGCCATCTAGAGTTTCATGACTGAACTATATATTTAAATCAACACCCGTCCCCACCCCCCACAGCATCTCCTGTGATGGAAAACTGTTTACTCTCGTCACGGGGGAAACGCTGCGTGTGAATGAGACCTTCTGCTGAAGGGAATGAGTTATGTTTATGTTTTATCATGATGAAACCACAGCCGTACACAGAAACCCTGGAGTCGTAGCGTATACGAGAGTCACAGGAGCTGACTGTAGATCAATGCAGATCTTTGTTAGAGTGTCCGCAGCACTTACACACACAAGATGCAGTGACTGCAGGCAAGCCTTTATGAAGAAAGCTTTTAGCACCTGAACGCTTCGATTATGATCTATCAGCTGCGAGCATGAGCTCACTTATGGAATATTAAATAGATTATGTAGAAAGATGAGCAAGCAAAACTCACTCGGCCTTGCTTATAAGGCATCATAATTTGATACACTAGCTTTCAAAAGTTTGGGGTCGGTGAGATTTTTAATGCTTTTAAAGTATTTTATGCTCATAGAGGCTGCATTTATTTGATTAAAAAATACAGTAAAAATCATTATTAAAGTAGCTGTTTTCTATGTGAATTTCTTGTAAAATGTAATTTATTGCTGTTATCAAAGCTGTATTTTCAGCATCATTACTCAAGTCTTCAGTGTCACATGATCCTTCAGAAATCATTCTAATATGCTGATTTGCTGCTCAAGAAACATTTCTGATTATCATCAATGTAGAAAACAGTTGTGCTGCTTATTATTTTTGTGGAAACCCTGATAAACCGTTTGTAAGAATGATATTTTCATCTGTCTGTCTGTAGAGAAAGGATTCGTGGCTCTTTCTTCTCATCTGGACAGGAACGTCTCGGCGCAGCTCGGAGAAAACGTGGAGCTGAAGGTGAAGATCGAGGCGTATCCCAAACCCACCGTCCTCTGGACTAAAGACGGCGCTGCTATTAGAGGACACAACACCAGACAGGAAAACGAGACCCGGTAATGATCCTCTCAATAAATTACCTCTATTAAACAAACATTAAACCTTAAACGTGTGCTCTGGATCTGCTGCAGGTTTGTCAGCACACTGACCCTGGTCAGGATTCGACTGGAGCAGATGGGTCTCTACACCGTCAGTGTCCAAAACCAAGATGACTTTAAAGAGTTGACCTTTGTTCTAGAGGTGAAAGGTGAGACAGTTTGACATCTATTTACACACCGCCCCATTTCCTGAAAACAGACACCCGTTTAAGTCTGGACCAAGAATAACACCAGCTCTTGGGATTACTATGAAACCGTGCATCTAATGTAATGTAATGTAATTTAATTTAGTTTGGGGTCTGTGAGATTTTTAATGCTTTTAAACTCTTTTATGCTCATAGAGGCTGCATTTATTTGATAAAAAAATACAGTAAAACAAATAAAAATGTGAAATATCGTTATTAAAGTTTTTTTGTTTTCTATGTGAATTTATTGTAAAATGTAATTTATTCCTGTAATGCAAAGCTGAATTTTCAGCATCATTACTCCAGTCTTCAGTGTCACATGATCCTGTTGGGATTACTGTGAAACCATGCATTTAATTTAATTTAATTTAATTTAATTTAATTTAATTTAATTTTATTGGCCAAATATTTGTGTTTGATATTATAATAAAATAATATAATTAATTTAATTTAATATAATTAAATATTTGACAAAATAATAATTTGTTTAATTTATCTGCATATGTAATTTAAAATTTGAATAGTTTAGTAAATTCTTTTATTTATTTTTACAATTAATTTTACTTCAATATGTTATTTGTTTAATTTAATTACATATGTAATTTAATATTTAATTAGTTGAATTTAATTTTGATTAATTTATTTGATCATTGGACTTTATTTAATATTTTAATAATTTATTTTATTTTAATATTTAATTTTTTTAATGTTATTAAAATATAACAAAATATTTAATTTGTTTAATATAATTACATAGGTAATTTAATATTTAATTAGTTTAACCCATTTTTTAATGCATTTATTTGATAATTAACTTCACCTCATTTAATATTTCAATAGTTTAATTTAATATATTATATAATTTATTTAATCTATTTAAATATGTATTTGTATATTTAATTCAATGTTTAAATTCATCTAAGTACATGTAATTTAATATTTAATGCAAAATTTGATTGGTTTAATTCAATTAATAAACAAATAAATTACTCATTACTTGTATTTAAAAATGACTATTCACCTTTAAGCTTCTTGATCAGTTATTTTCTCATTTATTCTGTGAGTTTTTTTGACTGATGTCATTTCCTGTCTCTGTAGTTCCTCCTCAGATAACTGAACTCTCTGACCATCAGCTGCCTGGTAAGAAGCACGCGGTCACCTGTGTGGCGGAAGCAGTGCCATCTCCCAGCATTCAGTGGTTCAGCTGTGACAGCATGCCCAAGTAATGACACACCTTCATCATCATCATCATTACAAATACATCTTATATGAATCTGTGCATTTGTTAGGCTCCCACCAAAGTGAGCAGCACATACCGTGAGATGCAATACTAGATTATCAGCCAACATTTTAAAAATATTTCCCCTTTAATGACTCTCATTCATATTTAATACGAGCTGTTTGCGAGATGAGTAAATATAGAGCTAATGAGTTTGCACATTACATTAACACACACATCAGCATAATGAAGGCAAACAGGTTGTGTCTGTCCATCATCCAAATGCTGCGCACATGCTGATTAAAACACCAAAGAGCTGCACAGAAATACTTCTGTATGAATAATATATAGCACACATGCTGTAACGGCCATTAGTGCACACCTCTCCTGTCACAGCACACTTCCTTCATGGGTGCAGCACACTTATGAGGGCGTAGATTTAAGTGTGCGAGCAGATATAATGCACGTGTATTATTTGGTGCGTTTGTTCTGGTTTGTAAATTGTCTTTGTGCATTTTGTACATATTACATATTGTATAAAGTATTCAGATTTAAATTTTTGATGTGTTTGGGAAGATGTATAATGGCATACTACCATACTGCTCAATATTTGCAGTATGCATCCATTGCACACAGAGTTTACAGAATGTAAATTTTTTTTCTCTGGATGAAATACCCAGATAACCTACTATATTTGCTATATATATATATATATAATTATATTTTTTGTCCAAATGTTTGTTAGAAAATGTGTGTGTGTTTGTTTGTGTTTTATTATTTGTTTATTTATATTTAATTTATATTAAATTTTTTGATAATATCTTTGTTTAATATTTAATTATTTGCTAAAATGTGCAAAATACAACCATAATATGAATATATATATATAAAGCATATACTTAATGTAAAATGTTATGTAATAATAGACATTTTCCTACAAAAAATTTGACCAAAACTGTAATATTTAACTCAGCTTTCTAAAATAATGTGGTTAATCGCAGTTCTTTCATGATTTAAAAGGAGGGGCAATTAATTTTTCACGTTGGGCCAGGTAGGTTTGGACAGCTTTTTTCCCTTAATAAATAAAATTATCATTTAAAAACTGCATTTTGTATTTACTTGCATTATCTTTGCGTAATATAAAAATGTATGTTTGATGATCTGAATCTTTTAAGTGTGACAAATATGCGAAAAAAAAAAAAACAGGAAGGGGGCAAAAACCTTTTCACGGCACTGTATATATATAATTTTTTTTTCCCTTACAGAAAATTGGAGAAACGCATGCTAGTATTTATGCACATATGCAAACATATGCTAGTATTATGTAATAATAACTAATACATATATTACTGTACAATAAATACTGTACAATTAATATGTATGTAACTAATCTGTATATACTGTACAGTATGCAGTCATCAGTACACTAGTATTCCCGTCTGGTGTCATCAGGTGCAGTAACAAAAGTGTGGCGTGGAGCCGTCTAGTGGAGGATCCCGAGAAAGTCACCATCCAGACCAACGTCAGCTACAACATCACACGCAAGATCCACCAGGTACACAGTCAGGTGACTCTCCTGCAGCCGCAGCTGCTCACCATCCGCTGCGAGGCCCGCAACGAGAGAGGAGCTCGAGCCCGAGACATCAAACTGGTCAACAGCAGTGAGTAATGCACGAGTGTGTGTGTGTGTGTGTGTATGTGTGTGTGTGTGTGTGTGTGTGTGTGTAAATACAAACTGCAGTTTTGAAATTATGGTTTCATTTATTAAGGGAAAAAAGCTGTCCAAACCTGCCTGGCCTCTTCATCATCATCCTCATCGCTGTGTGGAGGAAGGTCAGTGACCTCACATCCTGTCTGTCTGGCTGAGACTTAGCATTTAGATTTAACATTGCTGAACTGGAACTCCACATTGTTCGGCCTGCAGAAGCCGCGCTATGAAATCAGGTGGAAGGTGATTGAATCAGTCAGTTTGGATGGACACGAGTACATCTATGTCGACCCCATTGACCTGCCCTATGACCTGGCCTGGGAGATGCCGCGGGACAGTCTGGTGCTGGGTGAGAGCGGGACACACCGTAGAGTCTTACCTTAATACTCAGCTTTTCCTGTAGATGGACACTGAATGTGGTCAATAACACTAGATTATATTAGCAACTATTTAGCAGCTGCCTAGCAACCACTCACTGTTAGTAAGTCCAGATGTTTATGTATTGAAATGCATGTGTTTCTTCAGGTCGGTCGCTGGGATCTGGAGCCTTCGGGCGTGTTGTCGAGGCGACGGCATACGGTCTCGGCCGTTCCCAATCCGCCACTAAAGTGGCAGTGAAAATGCTGAAATGTGCGTGTGAAACACTCGGTTACACACATGTATGTGATTGATGATCGTAGTTAATCGTGTTGTGTGCTCACTGCAGCGACGGCTCGGAGGAGCGAGACTCGAGCTCTGATGTCTGAACTCAAGATCATGAGTCACCTGGGTCCTCACCTCAACATCGTCAACCTGCTGGCCGCCTGTACCAAACCCGGTGAGCAGACTGCAGCGCTCGGGACACACGCTTAAGCAGCCGAGCCTTCCTAGACATTTAAAGCTGCTGAACTTTATATTAAGTTGACCACTTTATATTAAGTGGCCTTAACTACTATGTACTTGCATCAAAAAATAAGTACAATGTACTTATTATGTTCATATTGTATTACAAAACACTTTTGCTGCTATTGAGGTGGGATACGGGTAAGGTTAGGGACAGGTTTGGGTAGGTTTAAGGGTGGGTTAAGGTGTAAGGGATGGGTCAACAGTGTAATTATAAATGTAATTACAGATGTAATTACATGCAGGTATTTTTTTTAAATATACTGTAAGTGCAATGTAAAAACATGTATGTACACAAAAAGTGCATTGTACCAAATGATTAATTTAAATGTAAGTACATAGTTGTTAAGACCTCTTAATATAAAGTGGGACCGATCAGACCTTTTGATGTGTTCATTTCAGGTTTGTGGTATCTTTATTTCTTGTTCCACAGGTCCGCTATATCTGGTGACAGAATACTGTCGCTATGGCGATCTGGTTGACTATCTGCACAGGAACAAGCACAGCTTCCTCCAGTACTACGCCGACAAGAACCACAGCCAGATGTGTAACGACAGCGATGTGTCGACCAGGAAAGAGTAAGAGTTCATTACGGACAAATGAACATGTGATTTCATTCTTCTATTGCACATTTCAATGAAAGTTTGGAATGATTTTTTTATTTTTATGTTTTTGAAAGAAGTCTCTTCAGCTCACCAAGGCTGCATTTCTTTAATTATTTAATTAATTATTTATTTAAGCCATTAAAAATACAGTACAAATTGTGAAATATTATTGCAATTCAAAGTAGCTGTTTTCTATTTGAATACATTGTAAAATGTAATTGATTCTTGTGATGCAAAAGTGAATTTTCAGCATCATTACTCCAGGCTTCAGTGTCACATGATCCTTCAGAAATCATTCTAATATGTGACCCTGGACCACAAAACCAGTCATAAGGGTCAATTTTTTGAATGAAGCTGAATAAATAAGCTTTCCATTGATGTATGGTTTGTTAGGATAGGACAATATTTGGCCGAGATACAACTATTTGAAAATCTGGAATCTGAGGGTGCAAAAAAATCAAAATACTGAGAAAATCGCCTTTAAAGTTGTCCGAATGAAGTTCTTAGCAATTCATATTACTAATCAAAAAATCAGTTTTAATATATTTACAGTAGGAAATTTACAAAATATCTTTATGGAACATGATCTTTACTTGATATCTAAATGATTTTTGGCATAAAAGAAAAATCAATAATTCAAAGTGATGTGACATGTGGCCTAGTATGGTGACCCATACTAGGAATTAGTCCTCTGCATTTATCCCATCCTAAGTGCACACACACACAGCAGTGAACACACACACTGTGAACACACACCCGGAGCAGTGGGCAGCCATTTTTGCTGCAGTGCCCGGGGAGCAGTTGGGGGGTTCGGTGCCTTGCTCAAGGGCCTCAGTCGTGGTATTGAAGGTGGGAGAGAGCGCTACATTCACTCCCCCCACCTACAATCCCTGTCGGTACGAGACTCGAACCAACAACCTTTGGGTTATGAGTTCAACTCTCTAACCATTAGGCCACGACTTCCCTTGTATTTTGACCCATAGATCAGAAATGTTTCTTGAGCAAATCAGCATATTAGAACGATTTCTGAAGGATCATGTGACACTGAAGACTGGAGTAATGATGCTGAAAATTCAGCTTTGATCACAGGAATAAATCACATTTTACAATATTTAAATTGTAAATAAATATTTTTAGTGTATTTTTGAGCAAATAAATGCAGCCTTGGTGAGCAGAGGAAACAAAAACTTTTAAAAAATCATTTTTACCGGTAGTGTATGTTTAAAAATAACATGAAATGCTATGGTAAGTATCAATCATGCTCGAGTGTAGCATTTGATGAAGTAAGCCAAATGTAATCAGGTTATATATCTGTGCTTTGCAGATACGTGTCGTTCGGTAGCGAGTGTGATGGAGGATACATGGACATGACCAAAGACAAGCAGACCGAATACGTGCCAATGCAGGAGCTCTCAGACTCCATCAAGTACGCAGATATCCAGCCATCACCCTATGAGTCTCCTTACCAGCAAGACATCTACCAGGAGCAAGGTACAGAACATACTCAACCCACTGTCTGCAGACCTTCAGATCAACTGCAGCTACAAGCTTCTCAAAGCTCTGCATTACTGTGATTTGACCACATTTAATCAGTCTTCTTAGAACAGCATCTACAGCAACCACCCAGAAAACCTTAAATACCTACATAAAATATTCATTATAAAACATATACAATTGTGCATTTGAATTGCATTTCATTTATTAATAGGAAATCTCTTTTATGCACATAACATTTTTAGAATTTATATCAAATATATAAAACTGTGCATTTTGATTGCATTTATTATTAATAATATTCACAATAAACAATTATTTCAGAAAACTATTTTTTTATTTCATTGCATTTATTATTAATAATAATTAATAGCACAGTAAATTCAGAAATTTAAATATATGAATTAAAAATAATAATTATTAATAATAATCACAATTAACAATTATAAGAAACATTTCGGATTATTATCAATGCTGAAAACAGTTGTGCTGCTTCATTTGTGCAGTTGTGCTGTGCTGCTGATTTTTTTGTGGATACTGATACATGTCGATTCAAAAGTTTGGGGTCAATAAGAAATGAATACTTTTTTTTTCATCCAGGATGCATTAAATTGATCAAAAGTGACAGTAAAATGTTCTATTCATTATAGAATCCTGAAAAAGAAAATGTATCACAGTTTCCACAAAAAATATTAAGCAACACAATTGTTTTCAACATTGATAATAATCCATAAACAATTATTTCAGGAAAATAAATATATGAATTTAAAATAAAAATTATATAAAAGTTTGTATTTTAATTGCATGGCATTTAATAATAATAATAATAAAAAATTAGAATAATAATAAACAATTACTTCAGAACATTTTAGAAACACCTATAGCAACAACCCTGAAAACCTTAGATGCCTATATACAATTCTAAATTACATATATTATTAAAAATGCAATGCAATTAAAAAATGCACAGTTTTATATATTTTATCATTTAATTTAAATATGCAGTTTTTTTCAATAATTCAAACATTAATTTGCTGCAATGACTGTCACAGGGTTTATTATCAGCACTGCCACACCTGGTTTATCACACATGAATTTGGATATAAATCATTTAAGTAATCACATGAAATGGTTATTTTGATCAAATAGTCCGTATTTATATTTATATTTTAACATTGTGATATTGTGGTGATTCAGAGGAAGTTGAGAGCATAGTGTAAGACTGTAGGTCTCATCTAGTTGCGCAGATGTACTGGAAGCTTGTTCCCATCATGCCTCGCTGTGTGATCTTTGGCCCTGTGTTGCTGAAAAGGTCTTCAGGTTGAGCACAGACGCCATCTGTGTGACACAGAGATCTCTTTCCTAACCGATGCTCATTAAAGTTTCACTTCCTTCTCTTACAGGATGTGCCTTGAACTTCATGAAACACTTGAGGTTTCTGCACAATTTAAATATTTTGACTAAAAAGTCTCATTGTTTATTTTTGTATTGATTTATTATTTGTGATGTATTTTAATTATTTAATTTCAGCTGAGAGGATGTCAGGGTGAATTCAGCTTCTCTCAACCTTAGAAAACCTTCATAAATACAATAGAGCAGGGTTCCTCAAATCTTGCCCTGGAGGGCCAATGCGCTGCAGAGTTTAGCTCCAACCCTGATCAAACTCACCGACCTGTGATTTTCTAATGATCAGGTGTGTTTGATTAGGGTTAGAGCTAAACTCTGCAGGAAAGTGGATCTCGTGGGCCAGATTTGAGGATCCCTGCAGTAGAGCATCAATGCAAAAAATATTTTCTTGCTTAGTATTTTTGACTTTTTCCAGTAGTAATATCTATTTATACTTAAATCAAGTTATATTCACCTAAGAAGCAAAATGGCTTAATATAAAGTCTTGTTGCAGTACTAAAATAACTTAAACTTATATAAAATAAAATAAATAAATATATAAATATATATATATATAATCAAAAATGAAGCACAACAAAATATCCAATACATTAAACAAGGGATAAGAAAAAATTGTTTTCCTTTTGAATTATGATTACTTTTCTGACCCCACTGACATTGTTTGTCATTGTTTTATGGATAAACTCAAAGTTATCAGAACTTAATAAAAAAAAATATTAAATGAAATAAAAAACTGATTTTCTTCAGTCTTTCTTCTTTATTTTAATGTTTAGATATTTGTGAAAAAACAAGACAATAAGTAAGAAAATAATATTTTGCAGTGATGCTAGATGCTAATTCAGAGGTACACTGAATGATTACCACGAACCATGGTAGAATTCTAAGATACTTCAGAGAATACCATGGTATTGCATGTTTTTTGTGTTTGCAATCAGATGTTGTGTGTGTTTGTGTGTGATTAATTGTGTGTGTTTATCACAGGTCACAGGGTGGATCAGGCTCTGGTGATCAGTGATTCTCCGGTTCTGAGCTACACTGATCTCGTGGGTTTCAGTTATCAGGTGGCCAAAGGCATGGAGTTCCTGGCATCAAAAAACGTGAGTCTCTGTCTCACACACACACACTCACATGTTTAAATGAGCACGTCACTTCTGTTGTTTAATAATAAGCCTACAGACAAACTCAGACCCTAAATCTTTCTAAGACTTCCACTAAAAGAGGTTTAGTCTCTTCTGGTGACAGTTTTGTCCCCAAGGTAAAGCTAAACACGCACATACATTGGGATACATGGGTATGCGAGAAATGTTTAAACTGCAAAAAATGATGTTCTTCCGCAGTATTTCTGTCTTGTTTTTCCAGTACAAATATCTAAACATTCTTAAATCAAGATACATTTATTTGAGACACAAAATGACTTAAGATATTAAGACTTAAATTAAGTGAGTTTATGAGTTTAACAAGAACAAATATCTGTCAATGGGTTCAAAATAAACTTGTTTTTCTTTTGAATTAAGTTTATTTTTCTGACCTCATTGACGTATTCATTTATTTGTATGTTTTAAGCATAAACTCAAAAAAATCAGAAAATAAAACTTAATGTCTTAAATAATTTTAAGTTAATTTAATGTAAGTTAATTTACAATATTTTATATGTAATGGAAAAAAAGAAAAACAAAAGAAAGAAAATCTTTTTTTTTGCAGTCCAATCAATGTATTAATTTAGACAATGTAAAAATACAAAGTAATTCGCATAAAATGAACAGTAAACATACAGAAAATAATAGTTTAAACTGAATTAGCTTACTTCTTGAACTTCTTGACTAGTTGTATTTATACACTTTAAATGCCCCATGAGGTATTAAGATAATCTGTCAAAATTTGTAAACATATTTCAGCAATCCGTCTCCACAAATTTGTATTATCTTTATTCCATATTAGTCCAGGATAAGTCATAGTGTTACACATGTTTTACTAGGCTGCTTGCAATGCGGAAATTAAAATAAATGGTGTTGTGCTGCTGATTATAGATAACGGCAATTGCTAGTAAAACTGCTGACCTGCCATTTCTAAACATTAGACCGAAAATTATAACTTTAATCCAATTGCTCACTTTTTACCCAAAAGTCTGTCATGCATGTTTTAATATAAACTCACATCACCATCTACTGACGGAAATGGGAAATAATAAGACTGCTAAGTAAAACATCTTTCTGTCTGTCTGTCAGTGTGTCCATCGGGATCTGGCAGCAAGAAACGTTTTGATCTGTGAGGGCAAACTGGCCAAGATCTGTGACTTTGGACTGGCCAGAGACATCATGCACGACAACAACTACATCTCCAAAGGCAGCGTACGTACATCCTGCGGTTTTTACTGTCTCTACGACTGTAATAAAGCACAATAAAACCAACACATTCAATCAAACAAACTCTGTGTGTTTGTCTGCAGACGTTTCTTCCTCTGAAGTGGATGGCGCCGGAGAGCATCTTTCATAACCTGTACACCACGCTGAGTGACGTCTGGTCCTACGGCATCTTACTGTGGGAGATTTTCACTCTGGGTCAGTCCGTTCGCTTATTCTTTCTCCACACTGTCTATGCATTCATGCTTTTGTGCAAATAAACCTTAAAGGGGTCATATGATGCGATTTCAACATGCACGACAACAACTACATCTCCAAAGGCAGCGTACGTACATCCTGCGGTTTTTACTGTCTCTACGACTGTAATAAAGCACAATAAAACCAACACATTCAATCAAACAAACTCTGTGTGTGTTTGTCTGCAGACGTTTCTTCCTCTGAAGTGGATGGCGCCGGAGAGCATTTTTCATAACCTGTACACCACGCTGAGTGACGTCTGGTCCTACGGCATCTTACTGTGGGAGATTTTCACTCTGGGTCAGTCCGTTCGCTTATTCTTTCTCCACACTGTCTATGCATTCATGCTTTTGTGCAAATAAACCTTAAAGGGGTCATATGATGCGATTTCAAGTTTTTCTTTCTCTTTGGAGTGTTACTTGATGCATAAAGAAGATCTGCAAAGTTGCAAAGACTAAAGTCTCAAATCCAAAGAGATATTCTTTATAAAAGTTAAGAGTCAGCCACACCTACCTAAAATGGCTCGTTCTAACACACCCCCACATACCTACGTCACAATGTGGGAAGATTTGCATAACGCCGCCCAAATGTTCACACAAAGGCGTAACTTTTATTCTCGCTGTAGTATTGTTGCCGCCGCCGCCATGTCGTGAAGGCGCTGTGTGCTTCGTTGTGAAAGCGAAACTACTTTGTTTGGCCTTCCAAAAGAGGACAATATCGCTTCGTCATGCCTGGAGCTGATCCGTGCTGGTCGCTGAGGAAATACTTTAACTCTGCGCGGTGGATCGCCGGATCGGCTTTCACTGTGGATGAAGCGGAGTCCAGCCCGGGGTCATCACATGTGGTTGCCGCAGGCATCACAGTATGGTAAGGGGCGTATCATTTCCGTCTCACGCTTGAAGAATTCGGCCAATCACAACGCACTGTATAGCTGGCCAATCACAGCACACCTCGCTTTTTCAGACCGATGAGCTTTGTAAAAATCGATGCGTTTCAGAAAGGCGGGGCATAGAAACAATAATGTACAGTATGTGGAAAATAATGTGTTTTTTGAACCTTAAACCACATAAACACATTTCATTACACCAAATACACAAAATAATGTTCTTTTTAGCAGCATCATATGACCCCTTTATATGTTAATCTCCCAAATAGAAATGGATCCGAGGGTGTTTTGGGGCCCTGGAGAAGTTTTGACATGCCCTGACATTTGTGGTTTTTTCAGTTGCTTATAAAATATGATATCAATGAGGAAAAAAATATTTGTGATGTTTTTCCTACTTAAAATTGGACACTATAACAATATCAATAAAAATGGTCATTCTTTTTTTTAAAGTTTGTTGCCTCAAGGCAACAGTGTGCCACAATGGACAAATTTAGACATTAGACATTTTCATGCAGAAAAAAAGAAATATATTTATTGAAAACATCAATTTCTTTAACCAAACACTTGAACAAACAGATTTATCTAGAGATTCATTTAATGTATTGCACATCTCATATTTAATAAAAAATAAAATTTCAAATCCAGCTAAACTATCATATCTGTTGTCATACCAAGACATTATAATCAGTGTTGTTTCAAAGTAAAAAATGAAAAATAATCATAACCTTATCCTAATATGCACTTTATCCTTACAAGTATGCACATGCACATGCACACACAAGCACATGCATGCAAAATCTCCTACTTCACTAATGACATCTCATTGCTTGTGAAAACTGAGGAAGCAATTCTTCTCAACAGACAAATAATATGTGCAGATATAGTATGATAATTACGATTCTTGAAAATTCATTACAAAATCATGCAAAACTTCTAATACATTTAGATAATTCTAACTCTTTTCTTTACAAATATCATATACTTGTATTCTAACCTAGTAGGCCTGCATGGCCTTATGCGATTCCATTGCGGTACAATGTTGCCTTGAGGCAGAATGCAGTTTTTTGTAATTTCCTATGATACATTTGATGAAATATTATGTAAAGTTTTTGAAAATACTTTCCAATGAAGGTGACTAAGATTTTTTGTAGGCAATTATATGCACGGAAATTGATGAAAAATGCACTTTTCATTGGACAAAATATGGAGTCATGTGACGTGCACATGTCCTGAAAGTGGAAACAAAATGGACCCCTGTGGGTCATGTGACCACTTTTTTTGTATGTTCATTTATTAGTATTTGACTTCTACTTCCTTGAGACAGCATTGGTCAATTAAATGAGTCTCTCATTATTTAAAAAAACAAAAATATGTTGTGTTGCCTGGAGGCAACACGCTACCATAGAGGGTTAGTAACACTGTAATCAGCACAAACTGGGCTACAATAATATGTGAGCAGCATGTATGTACGGGATTGTGTTTTTGAGAAAATAATGTTTATGCATACTTAGTGAAAAACTAAAATTTGAAAGTCACTGAAATAAGGCCATAAAACACATACATAACATTTGTTCACAAGACTTTTGAGAACTGGATCTTGAAGTCTAGAGTTTTTGCTTCAAAATGACGTGTTCAAAATCATCTTACTCACTCATTCAACTCAATAAAGTATGTTTTACCTGAAATGTGTGTTCTGAGCAAGTATGGGTTTGATTTCCAGGGGAATGCATGCTTTGAAAACATTTATAGATTGAATGCAATGAAAGTAGCTTTGGATAAAAGCATCTGCCAAATGCATAAATCAGGGTTATTGTTGTTAATTAAAATTCAAACTAAAACCATAGTTCATTTTTGTTACTTAAAATAGAAAAAACCGTATTTCATTTTGGCAACATTTCTCATTTTCATTTAGTTTAAATTGAAGCACTAAAATAACTCAAATTAATAAATACTGTAGAGATATATTTGTAAAAAATGACAAAAACATATAACAAAATTACTAAAACTTTAACTAAAATATATAGAAAATATAAAAATTAAATCTTATTTAAAAAAAAATATATATATATATATATTATATTATATAAACTAGTATATCAATGATACTAAAATAACACTGGTAGAAATGTAATGTAATGTATGACTTTTACTTTTGGGCAGTTGGAGTTGTATAAATGTAATATTTTAATTTAACTTAATTGAAATTATAATAATCTATATAGACATTAAAAAACACAATTACTTAAACTTCAAGATTAAAATGTAAACATAAAAATAAAAACATTCAAAATATTAATAAAAACTATCATAGTATCTCAGTTACACTAAAATAACACTATTAATATTTGTTAACATTAATAAAAATACAACTGTCCATTGTTAGTTCATGTTAGCTCAGGTCCATTAAATAATATAAAAGATCAAATTTTTGGTTTTAATAATGTAATAAATGTTGAAATGAACATTAACTAAGATATTGTTAAGATAAGTATTTTTTATTGTTAGTTCATATTAATGTAGTTAACTAATGTAACAATTTTAACAACTGAAACCTAATAGTAAACTGTTACCAATTCTTTCACAAGTCATGTTTGTTTTTTGTCTATCAGAGATTTCAAACAATGAATTTTAAGCATGTAAGTGCTCACTATTGAATCAGTAAAAAAACTAAAGCTTGAAACTTGAGAAGCTGTGTTTATTGGTGATTTTGTGTGTGATTTTGCAGGAGGAACCCCGTATCCAGACCTGCCCATGAATGAGTTGTTTTACAGTGCTCTGAAGAGAGGATACCGCATGGCTAAACCCTCGTACGCCTCCGACGACATGTATGTTTCACTGCGTTTCCTACTGACCTGAACGAAAGTTACTAAGCATACAGGCTGCATGCTTATTATTGCACATATGCTGGAGTTACATATTCAGACAGTAAATAACTTTTAAGTGCATAGTAACAGGCAGGTTTGTTTTAAAAAAGAAATCCTGGAAATCTCTTGTGGCTTTTGTGACTGAATGACAGCAGATTTGGAGTGAATGCTGGTGGTTTTGTTCCTCTGCAGTTATGAGGTCATGAGGAAATGTTGGGATGAGAAGTACGAGAAGCGTCCGGAGTTCTCCTTTTTGGTGCACACAATGGGGAACATGCTGTCAGATGGATATAAAAAGGTTTCCTTTATGTTCCCTGTTTCATTTCCATGATTACTGCATAGATTTGCAAAGAAATTCTAATTCTAATATTCATTTTCTCTTTTGCTAGAGTACTTTCTGATATCACACAAAGGAACATGCACAGAGACGCAGAATTTAAATGCATGAACAATCCATTCAAATGGGAGTGATTTTAAATATAGGAATGAGAAACATTGACACATTTTAAACAAACCTTTTGTCATGATATGTATAAACTATAAAAATTAAAGGTCGCAAAGCAATTCTAATTATAAATTCAAAAAATCGTTACTTGAAATAAAATTAACGTTAAATGAAATAAAATATAAAAAATGTAAACTTATATTATTTCAATTAGTTGCTATAGAAATAGTTTTCATTTAGTTTAACTTAAAGTAGTAAAATAACTAAAACTAAGTAAAATAAAATGAATAAATAAAAAATGTAAAAAAAATAAAATAAAACATTTGAAAAAGCTGATAAAACTGACTAAAACACACATCAGAATGACTAAAAGTATAACTAAATTTAAGACAGAAAATATAAAAATAAAATCTTCACAATATTAACAAAAACTATAATAGTATATCAATGATAACCTGAAACGGTCAATCTCCACTAATCAAAATATTGATTGAGATTAGGGAACCTCTCTGAGGTCTCAAAATTGTGTCCCTGCGGGTCAAATGCCATCTGTTGAGTTCATCTTATGTGTGGATTATTTGGTTTTATTTGAAAAACAGAAGCACACTCTGATGTGAATCTCTGGTTTCAACAGCTCTGATAAGTTATAAACATTGAGCGCGTTTACATGCGCCCTCATAATGCCATTCTAATGGGATTTTGGCAATATTGTGATTAAACTTTACCTCATGTAAATGCAATACTCCAATCAAAATAATGCAATTAAGCTCATAATCGTATTAACCATAATTGCATTAAACTATGTGGCGTTTGTGAGATTGTGATGTTGCGATGCTCATCACGGCGCCAAATAACCTTCCAGGACATCAGTAGTATTATTTTGCATTTGACTTAAATGGTTAGTTCACCCAAAAATGAAAATTAGCCCATAAATTACTCACCCTCAAGGTATCCTAGGTGTATATGACTTTCTTCTTTCAGACGATTCCAGTCGGAGTTATATAAAAAAATGTCTTTGATCTTTCAAGCGGTTTAATGGCAGTCAGCGGGTGTTGCAGTGCTTCAGTCCAAAAGAAGTTAAATAAAAAGCGCCCATCCATAATAAAAAGTGTCTCACACGGCTCCGGGGGGTGAACAAAGTCTTCCTGTAGCGAATCGATGTGTTTTTGTAAGAAAAATAACCATATTTAAAACATAATAATCAATTTAATCTAGCTTGCACTCACTGTTGTACATGGAAGCAGCTCCGGGTGGATGACGTATGAGGTCGGCTTTGCGCATTCGCCGCTCAGAAGTGATGAACGTGGAAGCGCAGGGGAGAGATCAAAACAAAACAATGGTCACGAATTAGAAGTACAAAACGAGGATTTGTAAATAAATAAATATTTTCGATATAAGCCAAGAGGAGACTAGTTTTCCTTTGCTAAAGCAAGGAAACTTTGCTTCCTTTGCTCCTGTTAACAAACATTGGTTTTCACGAGACTCACCGGCGCATGCGCAACGCTGAACTCATACGTCATCCGCCCGGAGCTGCTTCTGTGTACAACTGTTGGCGCAAGCTAGATTGAAGTGATTATTACGTTTTGAATATGGATCTTTTTCTTACAAAAATGCATCGATTCGCTACAGGAAGACCCCGGAGCCGTGTGAGACATTTTGTTTTATGTATGGGCGCTTTTTATTTCACTTCTTTTGGGCTGAAGCACTGCAACACCCACTGACTGCAATGATAGAGCTTGAAAGATCAAAGACAATTTTTAAAGGAGTCAAAGGATGTTGCTAAAAAGAACATTATTTTGTGTATTTGGTGTAATGAAATGTTTGTGTGGTTTAAGGTTAAAAAACACATTATTTTCCACATACTGTACATTATTGTTTCTCCTCTATGCCCCGCCTTTCTGAAACGTGTCGATTTCTACAAAGCTCATCGGTCTGAAAAGCGAGGTGTGCTCTGATTGGCCAGCTATCCAGTGCGTTGTGATTGGTCGAATACCTC